GAGGAGACTTTTCTATCACACAACAAGCCCGATGCATTCCTCCACTTCAACCATCCAACTTGAATTCTATTAATAATATTATCATCTATTTCACCATCACTCTAAACAATAGACACGATATCTAAAGCGTGTACTCTTATTAATGACTTGATAGCCTGTCACAATCCCTCCAATAGATCTATTACTACTAAAATTACACTTCATATATGTTGTTTTAGATCTACTCATGAAAACCTTTAGACTCTAAGGTTAACCTCCATAATTCAAGTTTACCTTCAACTCCCTCTCTAGTCTTATTAACAAGAAGAATATCATTAGCAAACAGCATACGCCAACCTCTTACAAATGTCTAGTGAGAACATCCATGACCCTCTATGAAGAGATATGTAATGAAAGAAAAATAGAATCAATAAAGAGGAACAAAAATCAAATAATCCAATGATTTGAAAGGTAAAGAAGGAAGAATCGAAGATATAAAGACTAAAGTGAAAAAAAAAACTTAAAATCAAGGATACCCCGTGTGATCAAGAGATAAAATTGTGTAGAGGCCAACGGAATGCATCCATTGAAAGTTTAGAAGTCATTGTTTGCTTGAGCATTGTCAATAAGAATGGTTGTGAGAAAAAAAAGGAGAAAATCCCAAGGGAAGAGTAATGAATCAAAGACACTGAAAACCAAGAAAGAAAAAGATTCGGAACTATGTCTCATTCAATATGTGACCTAACTTTTACAAAATGAGTGAACTTGCACTAGCTTTTAAAAAATAAGTGGGTAAACCTATGTTGCCTTGAGCCAAGAGATTATGATAAGAGCAAGCCACATACTTATACGTAATGTATCATGTGATGAATCACGGAGTATTGTGATGTGAACATATTGTCATACTTTGAAGCACCCATATGGCCATATGCATCACAATGGAGCAAAGCACTGCTACTCTCTATCATAATGATTTGCTTCAAAAGCATGCATTTGACAATACTAAGTAAAATTGAGAATGCTAAGATGAATCATGAATGCATGACAAAACAAGAAAGGCTGAATTGAAAATTGATTATTATGAAGGGTTATTATACAACAAGACTATATTGAATATAAAGCATTGAACAGTAGAGTGATACACTAATGGTAGAAAATGAACCAATTAGATGGGTAAAAATATTAATGTTAAAGGACTATGAAGGAAAAAAGGGTAGATAAAATGTTGCATAGATAGAAGTTGTGCAAAAGATTTTGTTGATGAGATTTAACAACTCATGTATTAGTTAATAAGAACAAATAAAAATGAGAATTCACTAGGTTAACAACATATAATTGCTAGGGCTGATGATGAAAAAAATTTAATCCAACAACCACCTAAATTAAAGTAATATACATTGAAGAAGCCTACTTTGGAAAGAAAGTAACAGACTAGTAAAGTCCAATATAAAATCCTTCCCAAGTAGATATTTAGGATCAAACCTATAAAGTCCATATCAAGAGGCTACTTGTTTAGAATAGAGCCTGATGTAAAGCGCTTGCATGCAAAGTTTTTTTTTAATTTAATGAAAAAATATATTTGGAGGTTTGTTTGGTTGGCAGTAAAGGGAGTGTAATGCATTCTTTTTACAAGTATTTTACTTTTCTAGTATTTTTCCTAAAGTAACTAAAAAGCAATGTATTCATTTACGGTATTGGGAATACAGCAAATGATTTACTTGGCATGATTTCAAAACCCGCTAGAATACTGTGATTTCCAAATACACACGGAGCTCTATCTCTCGCATCTTCGCCTAGGGCTTCCATTCTCGACACCTCTAGCCAAGGGGGGAACCCTTTACAGGTGAGGGGGGGCCAATTGCCCCCCCTAAAAAAAATAATTAATTAGAGTTAGGGCAATTTTGTAAATTTGCACACCCTAAAATAAATGCTTTGCCCTAGCCGATCCACTCTTTCTCCCTCTCCCAAATTATTTCGCGCAGCCACCGAGCCCTCTCTTCGCAAGTTCGCCCGGCGCCCGCACAGCTCCATTTCGCCCGAGTGAGAGGCTACCTAGGGCAGTTCGGCACCCGCCGGCTTGGCCTTCCACCTTCGTCAACTTGTCAGGGAGTTCGCTGCATAGCGGCTGTGTCACCAGCAAGAAATCCATTGATTTTAGCCATATTTCAGCCTTTTTTCATGTACTCTTGATTTTTTAAATTCCATATTCTTACCGAAACTATTAGATTTTGTTATGATTTCACTATTAATTTTGGCTTAAAGATTATTGCATTTACTTTTATTAAAAGAAAGTGAGTTTTTAGCCAAATTCACAAAATAGTGAACTGTGAATCCTCAAATTTTCTTTGCATAAAAGCATAAAACGTATCATATTGCTTGCATTAGAAAATCCTAAACCTATTTCATCCCACATTACTCGGGGTGATGGATTTTTGGAGATTTGCAAATTAAATAGTTTATAAATTCATCATATTGACTATATGTAGTTAATAAAATATTAAATTAATGACACAATATAAATGAAATTGCATTTGGATATGGTTATAACCAACACTATCATATAAATAAAATTTGTATTTCTAAATTCCATTAAAGACAAAATTGGGAAGTTTTTCAAGATAGATCAATAATTTGCAAGTTTTAAGTTGAATAAATTTAGAGAGGCATGATTGATTGTTTTCGCAAAGTGTTTCGAGTTTAAAACTGCTGGCATTAGCAAAATGCTTCAAGAGATATTATGCAAGGTTCACACACCTTGTAAATACAAATAATTCTGTTTGACCATTTGTGGAACCAACCACAATTATGTAAAGATTTCTTTGACCATTTTTAAAGAACAATTTTTTTACAGGATATATCAAATGGAACATTATCTAAAGAGGAAAGAACCTTTAGAGACTGATTTTAATAATCTCCCAGCTGATCCTGGAATTTGACCTTCAATTTGGTGTTACGATATAAATGAAAGAGAGAAAATTCGGAGAGCATATCTGTTAAAGGTATCCCATCAACCAAAAAAATATCAATTTCCTCAAACAATATTTGGCAATCTTGAACGTAATTTAATCCAAAATGGTTTGAGGAATATCCTGATTGGTTAGAATATAACGTGCACAAAGATGCTGTTTTTTATTTGTATTGCTACTTGTTCAAATCTCAAGATAAAATTATTACAGGACAAGATGGGGGATACTCATTTAGAAGTAGAAAAAAACTGTTAAGTCACGTTGGAGATCATAATAGTGCATATAATAAGACTAGATACAAATGTGAGGATCAGATAAAAACAAAAGAACAAAGTCTTCATGTTCTATGGTTGAGCAAAGATGAGAGAAATGGAAAAGATTATAGGTTAATGTTGACCGCTACAGTAGATTATGTTCGATTTTTGTTACGCCAAGGGTTATCATTTTATGGGCATGATGAGTCATCGGGATCTGAGAATCGAGGAAATAAAATAACTCCAAATAATTTTCTCGATTCTCAGATCTAGATGACTCACCATGCCCATGAAATGATAACCCTTGGCGTAAAAGAAATCGAACACAATCTACTGCAGTGGTCAACATTAACCTATAATCTTTTCTATTTCTCTCATCTTTGCTCAACCATAGAACATGAAGACTTTGTTCTTTTGTTTTCATCAGATCTTCACATTTGTGTCTAAACTTATTATGTGCACTATTATGATCTCCAACGTGACTTAACAGTTTTTTTTTCTACTTCTAAATGAATCTCCCCACCTTGTCCTATAATAATTTTATCTTAAAGTTTGAACAAGTAGCAATACAAACAAAAAACAGCATCTTTATGCACGATGTATTCTAACCAATCAGGATATTCCTTAAACCATTTTGGATTAAATCTACGTGCAAGATTGTCAAATACTGTTTGAAGGAATTGATGATTTTTTGGTTGATGGGGTCCCTTCAACAGATATGTTCTCCAAATTTTATCTCTTCATTTATATCGTAACACCAAATTAAAGGTTGAATTCCAGGATCAGCTGAGAGATTATTAATATCAGTCTCCAAAGGTTATTTCCTCTTTAGATAATGTTCCATTTGATATATCCTATGAAAAAATTGTTCTTTAAAAATGGTCAAAGAAATCTTTACATAATTGTGGTTGGTTCCACAAATGGTCAAAGAAAATTATTTATAGTTACAAGGTGTGTGAACCTTGCATAATATCTCTTGAAGCATTTTGCTAATGCCAGCAATTTTAAACTTAAAACACTTTGCAAAAACAATCAATCATGCCCCTCTAAATTTATTAAACTTAAAACTTGCAAATTATTAATCAACCTTGAAAAACTCACCAATTTTATGTTTTTAATGGAATTTAGAAATACAAATTTTATCCATATGATAGTGTTGGTTATAACCATATCCTATGCAATTTCATTTATATTGCGTCATTAATTTAATATTTTATTAACTATATATAGTCAATATGATGCATTTATAAACTATTTAATTTGCAAATCTCCAAAAATCCATCACCCAGAGTGATGTGGGATGACAAAGGTTTAGGAATTTCTAATGCAACCAATAAGATACGTAGTATGCTTTTATGCAAAGAAAATTTGAGGATTTACAATTTACTAGTTGTGAATTTGGTTAAAAACTCACTTTATTTTAATAAAAATAAATGTAATAGTCTTTAAGACAATTAATAGTGAAATTATAGCAAAATCTAGTAGTTTCGGTAAGAATGTGGAAATAAATAAAATTATCAGGCAAATAAACTAATTTTCATAGAATCATATATCCTACATTTCAATTTTTTGCCAAATCAAGATTACTTAATGAAATAAATTATATAGAATAAATGGACAATGAATGAAACTACAAAATATAAAAAAATTAGGTAATAGCAAACTTTAACCAAAAGATTCAAGCCTTAAAAAGAGGGAAAACAAATAAGTAAAAATATATATTTCTTATGAAAACCAACAAGCACAAAACATGACACAAACTCTAAGATCAATAATTTGGAATTTATAAAATCAAGAGTACCTGAAAGGCTAAAATCTGGCTAAAATCAATGGATTTCTTGCTGGTGACACAGACGCTCTGCAGCGACCTCCCTGACAAGTCGACGAAGGTGGAAGGCCAAGCCGGTGGGCGCCGAACTGCCCTAGGCAGCCTCTCAGTCGAGCGAAATGGCGGGCAAAATGGAGCTGTACGAGCGCCGGGTGCGAAAAGAGGGCTCGGTGGCTGCATGAAATAATTTGGGAGAGAGGGAGAAAGAGTGGATCAGCTAGGGCAAAGCATTTATTTTAGGGGGGGGGCAAATTTACAAAATTGTCCCAACTCTAATTTTTTTTTAGGGGGGCAATTGTTGCCCCTCACCTGTAAAGGTGATGTAATCAAAAATTTGGGAGAGGAGCCCAAATTTTTTATCACAAAAAAAAAGAAATTTTCTAAGTAATAGAAAAGACACAAAAGGACACAAAATAGGATCAAAACAAACTTTACTTATATAAAATGAAAGACTTACAACTCTTAAAATTAAAACGACTTACAAACAAAGACTCTTACAAATGACTCAAACAAGACAACCTAAACTTGCTTTCCAAAAGAAGAGGGATACAGGTGAGGTGGTCACTTGCGGAGAGACGAAAGAGGTTAGAAGCCAAGACGAAGGAGGAGGAGAAGCTCGCAAGCTTTCCTAGAGGAGAAGGAGAATGGAACAAGCTCGCAAGCTTTTCCACGAAGAAACCCGCAGGTTATAGCTTCCAAAAATCACATTTTCACTTACTTAAAACAGCCACAAACATCACTATTTATAGGCACAAAAGAAGGAATACAAACAGTCACCTAAAAGGAATATTTAAATACATTAAAATAGAGAAATAAAAGGCCATAAGTCACCAAGAAGAAGGCCAAAAGACAGCAGGAATTATGCAGGAAAATTGCATAGAAAACAGAGAAAAACTCTTGGAATTCCCCCCCAAACAGCCACCAAACAGCAACCTTCATTTGGTGCAGAAAATAGGGACAAAAAGGCCACGGAAGCCCAAGCAAACAGCCACGGGAAAGCAGCCAGCAGGAGGCCCGAACAGCCAGCACAGCAGTCCCCATTCGGAACAGGAAACAAGGGGCCAAGCACGGGAAAACCAACAGCCATCCACGAGAACCAAAGAGTCAAGCCACGGGAACCAAGGAACCATCCACGGGAACCAAAGAGCATCCATGGAAACCAAAGGGACAACAAATGGGAGAATGAACCTCAATTTATGAGCTAAAAAGGCTCTCTACTAGACATTAATGAGCTGATATCTAGCAGAGGAAAGCATTTATGAGCTTGAAACATAAGAAGAGGCTCATTAATGAGCTGATTCAAGTAGAACTTACAAAATTTTCAACTCAACTTGTTTTGACCCATTCCTTGCTTACATCAAAAGGGTTCCGCCCTTGGATGTCACATCCAAAAGTTGAGAAAAAAGTTGGAAGAATCTTGGGTAATGGGTCATGTGGAGAATGTCTAAGATATATTTTGATAAAATTTCTATACAATTATCCTTTTTCAAAAAAAAGCGAAAATAAATCTTAAGTTTTTTGTTTGTTGTGTGATGGTTTTTTCAAAAGATGCAAATGTTTTTAATATTTCAAATACAAATTATATAGAATTAGAGAAGGTTTGTGGTGAAGGATATGCCACTAGAGAGCGGGTCAAGTCCAAAAATTATCAAACACCATTCATCACTCAACAAATCAACTTAGATGACCATGAGCCCCAAGTTTTATAGATACTCACATAGATGCATCCCAACCAATTCATTGGGTTGAAGCGAAGATTATAGAAGATTCTATAGGAGGGAAAAATCAATCAATGTCATCATCTTCCAAGGGATGCATCCCACACAAGATGAGTAAGCGGCCTAAGTCTTCATGAATATAATGATATGGTGCCTGATAGTGTAAGTCAACTTGCTAGTGCAATCTAAAGTACAATAAGAGCTTCTGAGGAGAGAAAAATAATTATTGAACTCATGACAACGCTATCAAGTATCCCCAACTTTTCTGAGGAAGAGACTGATATGATATATGACAATTTATTGAATAATCCAACAATGATTCTTTTTTTCAACTCAAAACTTATCAAATTAAAAGCTAAGACGAATTTGAAAGCAGTTAGACAAATGAGTGTATAATATACAATTTAATGATGGATTAATCATTTTTAGTAGTAATATATAGCCAGATTTTGTGATGTAATTATAATAGATATATCATAATTTTGAACAAATATCTTCAAATATATTTTGGACTTATGAAATAGCATATGCTTATTTTGGGTTTATCCTTAAATTATTGATAATTGTACTCTATATATAATTATTCTTTTACGATTAATTTGGTGAAAATAGCTTGTTATTCTATAAATTTGGTTTTTTTATTGTGCTTCAACCTATGTTGCACCGATACGGATACGGCGACACGGATACGACACGATACGGATACGGGACACGTCAATTCTTAAAAATACAGGATACAGGTACGGCGCGGACACGGCATCATAATTTATAAATCATACATAAAAATTAAGAAAGCAATCAAAGCATAATATTTGAAATGACAAAAAAAAATGAAAGCAACATCATTTGTAGCCTTGTAGCTTATAATATCAAAATATAAGTAAGCATTAAATGTCTAGTACAACAACAAAAGGCATAAATATAAAATTGTCTAGCACATAAAGAACTTCAACTATTCAATAGAAGGATGAAATGATTAGCTTCTTCAGTGGTTTGTCTTGAACTTCTATATCTCTTCAATAAATATCATAGCTTTTAATTCAGGCTCATCAAGTGAAGATTAGTAATTCTAATATTCTCATATCATCAGAGACTCAAATCCATCTCGAAAATGAGAGAACTTTGCTCACAGCCGCGAAAGTAAATATGACGCGTCTTTTTTTTTCGGATTTCTTTTTGTTTTTCAACGGACACGATATCGGATACGCGTGTCTTTGAAAATGAATACTATGTTAATTGGATACGTCTTTGGCGTATCCGACACGTATCGGTGGAGTATCGGAGGCGTATCCGACACGTATCGGTGGAGTATCGGAGGCGTATCCGTGTATCGGTGTATCGGATACAGCACACCTTAATAAATAGGTGTATCGGTGCAACATAGGCTTCAACATATCAAAGATTCACCTTACTCCATATTGTCCACCCAATCAATCAAAAAAGATAGTTCACTTGCATTTACTTTATAGAAAAGTAAACAACCCCTGAGTATTCAAAATACAGTGTTTTAATTTACTCTACATACACCAAGAAACAACAAAACTATTACACCAACATTTACTCTAGAGTCAATCAAATAACTACTAACTATTCAAAATATACTACATTTATATTCCATTTACTCTGCATTCCTTTTCCAACAAACAATTAGCCCCTAAATGATGTAGGCAGGGGGGGGGGTCTAATCAAATTGGGTTCCTTCTTGGCTCTGGCCTCTGGGCTGCTTGTTGTTCTCGGTTTGGGGCCTTGGCTACTTGGTGTTGAGCTTAAAAATAGAGTTCTACTTCTTGTTAGCTCATTAATGCTTGAGCTGAAGTTTAGCTCATTAATTGGTGGAATAAATTCACTTCCTAGCTCATAAAATCAAAAATGTATTCTTCTATTTTAGCTCATTATTGTGTGTGGACTTGTATCTCTTCCTTCCCCCTTGTCTTCTTGCTTTTCTCCTGGCTGTTGCTGTTCCCATGACTTCTGCTCTCTGTTTTCCCCTGGCTGTTGTGGTTCCCGTGAAAATCATGTTGGGGTTCCGCCTCCTTTTTCCTGGCCTCCTCGGTTTCTGCTAGTTCCGCCCCTTGTAAGCTGGATTGGGATGAATTTGGCTGATATTTGGGATGTCTTTTCAGCTGCTGTTTGGTATGTCTCTTGGCCTTCTATTTCCCTCTTTTTCATCGGTTTGAATTGAGGTGAGTGGCTGTTTGGTTTCCCCCTTTCTTCCTATATATAGGGGAAGATTTGAGGCTTAAAAAAGGTTGGTTATAATGTGATTTTTGGATAAAAACCTGAGAGGTTTTTCTTTTTTCTTTGGAATAGCTTGCGAGCTATATCCTTCACCTTCTTCTCCTCTCTATAGCTTGCGAGCTATACTTCGTCTTGGCTTCTAATCTCATTCTTCTTCCCACAAGTATCCACCCATCAGTATCTTTCTTCTCAATCAAAAAATGCAACTTTAGGAGCTTTATTTTAAAAGTTTGTAAGGTGTTTGTGTTTGTAAGTGTCAAATTTGCAATCGTCTTTTTATATGTTATAAAGTTGTTGTTTTTGTTATTTCAAGAGTGTCTTTGTGTATTTTCTATTTTCTAGGAAGAGAATCATTTGCTTGCAAAAATTTGGGGCTTTTCCCAAATTTTTGCTTGCATCAATTTGGTATCAGAGCCTAGGTTTGTGTCTTCTTAGGTCTCTCTTTTCGTGTCTTTTTTTATATGTTTAGACAAATGGAAAATCACAAAAAAAATTGAGTCCATTGTGGAAGAAAGCAATCCAGAAGTTTCTGAAGTCCATGTCCCTATGGATAGATGTGTTCCGACGAAAGGAAATTCAACAGATCCCTTACAGAATGAACTATACAAGCTCCAAGTGAAGATGCATTTGTGTACGGAGCGATACATGAAAAAGAAATAACTTTTACAAGAACAATTCAAGCGAGAGCGAGACGAGGTATTGAAAAGGTACACGGACAAAATTCAAGAGCTTGAAGTGCCTACTTCGTCTCCTCGGAAAATTTCGAAAGCTTCCTCATCAAGATATGAGCCTTTTTAAGTGGGGGAGAATTGATGTAGGGAAGGAGGGGGGGTCTAATCAACTTGGGTTTCTTCTTGGCTATAGGCTGCTTGTTGTTCTCGGTTTGGGGCCTTGGCTGCTCTCGGATGGACTTTGGCTGCTTGGTGTTGAGCTTAAAAATTGGGTTATACTTGGTGTTAGCTCATTAATGCTTGAGCTGAAGTTTAGCTCATTAATTGATGGAATAAATTCACTTCCTAGCTCATAAAATCAAAAAGATATTCTTCTATTTTAGCTCATTATTGTGGGTGGACTTGTGTCTCTTCCTTCCCCCTTGTCTTCTCGATTTTCTCCTGACTGTTGTTGTTCCCGTAACTTATGCTCTCTGTTTTCCCCTGGCTGTTGTGGTTGCCGTGAAAATCTTGTTGGGGTTCTGGCCCCTTTTTTCCTGGCCTCCTCGGTTTTTTCTGTTTCTGCCCCTTGTAAGCTGGATTGTGATGAATTTGGCTGATATTTGGGATGTCTTTTCAGCTGCTGTTTGGTATGTCTCTTGGCCTTTTATTTCCCTCTTTTTCATTGGTTTGAATTGAGGTGAGTGGTTGTTTGGTTTCCCCCTTTCTTCCTATATATAAGCCCTAATATCTATTTACGCATGACTGGCGAACAAAAATATTCGAGGCAGCGCCTAATCGCCTCGACGCCTCGCGCCCTGAGGCGTACGCCTCAAATGAAAAAGGCGTATGTTTTGTCCGAACAACCAAGGCTTACGCCTTAGTTCGCCCACTTAATGCCTCGACTCGAGGCGCGCCTCAAGGCTATCGCCTCAAACGCCTTTTAAATGGTTGCTTCTTCCCCAAGTATCCACCCATCAGTATCTTTCTTCTCAATCAAGAAATGCAACTTTAGGAGCTTTATTTTAAAAGTTTGTAAGGTGTTTGTGTTTGTAAGTGTCAAATTTGCAATCGTCTTTTTATATGTTATAAAGTTGTTGTTTTTGTTATTTCAAGAGTGTCTTTGTGTATTTTCTATTTTCTAGGAAGAGAATCATTTGCTTGTAAAAATTTGGGGCTTTTCTCAAATTGTTGCTTGCATCACTAAATATACTTACAATTCATTTTCTTTAAAAATTTAATTAAAAAAAATGCAACCAAATCACCAACACAAGAATTTTCTTTAGCTGCATTTCATATGCATCAAACAAAAAAGTGGTATTAAAAAAAATTGATTTTCCAAGGTCTTAATGTCCTGACTAGATACAACAACAATGATCTTGATGTTCTGACTACACTACAAGCCAAGATGTCATATCATAATCACAATGGCAATTGCATTCAAATATTAAATTCCAAGATTTCTGCAAATCTACTTTAAACAAAAAGCAATTGAAGTAAAACGTACAATGTATTAACACAAGGAAATCCAAGGAAGACATTCATGAAACCATCACAAAAAATTACCTGAATGGCAGAAATGAGTGGAAAGATCCCTACAAAAGGAGGCTTCTTCACGACCCTTCTCTCTGGCATCACCTCCTCACAAAGCTGCTGAGCAATATCCTTAAGCAGCACCACCTGCGCCTTACCCATCCCCATCGATAAGATAGCTTGCCTCATCGACTCCCTGTCGGCTTCCAGTGCCTGCAGCCTCGCATACAAGCTCCTCATTTCAGCTTCATCAGTATCTTCAAAAATCCCATCCCTCTTGCTCACAAGCTCCCTTGGCATGCTTCTACGATCATCTTCCACCCCATCCACGCCATTCAAAGCATCGATTGTATATACCCGATCACTAATGTCATCCTTGCTGCCACCGCAGGTATCAGAGGCATATTCAACGCCAGCTGAGAACTCGTTCTTGCAGAGCTCCATTCGGAAAGACGGAGAGCCAAAGGCGTACTTGTTCTCCGGTTCCGCGTTAGGGAAGGCAGTGACATTTTCACGGAAATCACTAACTTCACAGTTAATGGAAAGGGGGCTGAGCTCGGAGAGGTAGGGGCTGATGCCAAAGGAGAGCAGGCGGTGGCGGTAAGCCTGGATTTCATAGGAGAAGGATTCGATAGCCTGATTCCGCTTGTAGAGGAGGTCCTCGAGAAGAGCGATCTCCTGCTGGTCGTGCGCCATCTTCTCCTCAGCGAAGCCCTTGAATTGTCGGGCGTCCATCTGGGCGTCAGCCTTCTCACGCTGGAGGCGGAGAATCATCGACATGGCCTCAGATGCGGCGGTGGCTGCCGCAGAGCGCTCCTCCTCGAGCTCGGAGCAGAGCACTTGGATCGACTGCTGATGGCTGCCCATGGCCTCGCGGAGGGCGGCCACCTCTTTCTCAATCTCCACGTGAGCCAAGTCCACGATTTGCCCGCACCGCGCCCCCTCACTCACCAGTTCGATCTTCCGCTTCAATGATCTGCCGCTCCTAGAGGAGACCAGCGAACCATAGCCGCAAAAGCGGCAGGAGCAGTCGCAAGACATCCGGCCACCGCCGCCACCATTGGAATCCAAATCCATGGATGAAGCCAGCGCCTGCTCCGTTCCTTCTACACTGACCCCGCGTCGAAGAATGTTACCTCCCTGCCCGCAGCCACCCTCGAACTCTCGGGGTGGAAGAGATCGGAGGGCGTAATGAGAGCTATATCAGCTGCGCTGGATGGAAAGAAGAAGAGGGTTTGAAACCCTACAAACCGTTTTGTTTTCGTTTGGTTCTTTTCCTGCGAGGCTTCCTCAATTGTGTGCTATGGCTGCTGAACCGTGACGTTTTGTTTAGACGTTACAGTTTCTTAAACAAACAACGAAGATATTTTTGGGACAACAAACAACTAAAGATAAATAATTGAATGTTGGGCGCGAAGAGAAATAGTACTCTGCATACGGTGACATTTTTAAAGGAGAAATTATTAGGTACGGAGTGCGGACGGGAGAATCGTCTGTACACTCGTATAAAATCGTGTTCGGTACTGTTTGGTACCACTCGATATCACTGGGTACCGCTTGGTACCCTGTGTCTGTGCGGACGGTTCTCACCCCGTCCACACTCCGCACGTAATAAAAAGTCTTTTTAAAGAGGTTGCACAAAAAGGATTAGAATGATCCCATTATGAGCAATATTTATTACAGGCTTTTTTTTAAAGATACTTTTCAGTTAATTAAGATTTTATTTGGGATAAAATAATATTTTTAGTATAAAATTTTTATAAAGGTTCTAAAAATTAGACCCGGAGCGAATTGGAAGAAGTAGAGGTTTACGGTTCTATAGATTTGATAGGTTCGATCCCGGTTACATATTTAATACTATTATTATAACAATTTAATAAAATTAACAAAATAGTGAAATATAATAACCAAGGTTATCAAAATCGGACTGAAAATGAACCGGAAGAGGGAGAGGTTCACGGTTCGACCGGTCGAACTGTGGTTGAACTGGATAACGTAATAAATAATAATACTATCAAAAAATTAATAAAATTAAAATCATATAATATAAGTATATGAGCATTTAATAATATTTATAAAATTTTATACATATAAATATCATTTAAAAATAATATATTTATAAGAATAATACTTAATATAATATATAAATTTATAATATAAAAAATTTATGATCCATTAATATAATATAAAATAATTAAATATATCATGCATTTAATAATATTTTATGTTGCGTGCTAGAATATACAGGGAATAGAGTTTGTAAATTCGCGTCCGACATTATATGATATTCACACACAAACAGAAAAGAGAATTAACACCAAGTTTTTACTGAAAACACCGAAAGAGGACAAAAAACCACGGGTCTCGCCTAGTTGTAAAGTTCCCTAGTATTTGTTTGAGTACAAAAGGTTGATCTCGTCTACAAAGTCAAGACGATCAGTTTACAATCAACTTCTCACAAAGTTACAAAGTTCTACAAATTTCCGACGTTCTCGAAAATCGGCAGAGTTTCCGGCGTCTTCAGGCGGCGGAAGAGCTCAGGGCGGTGGTCGAGGGAGGAGCTTCTTCGTTCCTCCTCTCTTCTCTTCTTCTTCTCTCTCTTTCACTTGAGTCCCCCTTTGTGAAGAATGAGTGCTTCTTATTTATTTTTTCTTCTGGAAGTGGGCGTGGCTCTTAAATACGGTGTGAGATCAGGGCGAAAGAGAGAGTGGTTTGAATGGACGCCGAATTGAACCACTCAATTGTGCACCGTCAATTGGAATTTTGGTGTCGCCTTAATCATGTCAGAATTCAGCGACTTGGGCTTCGTGGATTCATTCATGTCGAAGGCGCTCGTATCGAAGAATTAACGCTCCGTTAAAATAGGAGACCGTTTGGTAAACTCCAAATTGGCGGTTTAGAACATTCGACAGCACTATGGGTCCTTGATTCGATCATTGGGCTCGGATTGGTTGAACTTGGTGTTGTTGGGTTCGTATTTTTTAGACATTTAGTTTGACTGTAAGTTTGCTGAAATTGGAATTCAGATGGTCTCTAGTTTAATTTCTAAAATTTCCAACTTGATTTTACCTCAGAATTCGTGCCCGATCAAGATAATTTTTGGTGACATATCAATTATATATAATCAAATAGATAAAAATTATAAATATTATTCATATTATAAAAAAATAAATATTTCATATTATAAAAATTAATTAAAAAATCATTAAAAAAATATGTTGTATAGTGTATAGATAAAATTAAAGATAACTTTTTTATTTGTATGGTTTAATCCCACATCATTTGTGAAGTTTTGCTTTGTTCAGTTTATATAGCTTTTTTCTTTTACTCATAACAAAATCTCACATGGAGTAATGAAGACATATGAGATTATTGCAATTAATATTTAACAAGCTTACGAGTTTTATATTAATTAATTAAATTTAATATTTATTTAATATTAAATAATTTGTTTTATTATTTAAATTAAAAAAACTTGAACTGATTGGTTTTAAAAAATGAGGGTTGGTTCACTGGTTGAATCGGTGGTTCTTGCCAAAACCGACCGGTTTAAAGCAAAGCCAGTTTTCAGGTCGAATTGGCCTCTCTAGTCCAATTTTTAAAGCCCTAAATTGTATACATAAAAATAATTTTAAAATAAATAAAAAAGTCATTCCAAATGAAGCCTAAGTTTCAAAACAAAAAAAAACTATTCATTGAACGACTCAAAATCAAAATGAATGATCTGAACTAGCACTATTTTAAAATAGCTTAAATTTAAATTATTTCTTTTTATTTTTTATATGAATACTTTTTCATTTTATAATTGAATTAAATTTGTTGAGATTTTTTTAAGATGTTTTCTATTTTTAATTATTAAAATATCTTTTATTTTAATTACCTAAATATGAAAAATATATTAAATATCCATGAGAAATTAGGAGCTTTTTTAAGCATTTCATGTTTTTCATTAAGAATAATCATGTACCCCTCTAAAGCCATCAAAGTTAAAATTAAATTGATTTTTTTTATATTAAAAAAATAGGCAATTGAAAGGAAAATTAATCATCATGCATTTTTTTCTCTAACCCTAAATCCTAATATTATAAAAAAAGTGCTAAATCAACTAGATAATTCCTAGTCTTATGCATATGAGAATGCACAAAGCAAAAAAGAAGGTCAGCAAATGCATCAAAATAATTGGATCATTCTTTAACTTTGTATCTAAGAACATATATAAAAGGAAGAAATAGCTTTCAGGGAGTCAAACATTTGGATACTTCACATTTAAGAGCATTCATAACATCAAGAAGTTCAACTTATCACTAGGTAGAGAAACTATAAGATATCTTAGGCTTCGTTTGGGATGATTTTCTTTCTGATTTCAAAAGTTGCTTTATAATACAGAAATTCAATGAAAGCAGCGAAAAAGCAAAAGCCAAAAGCTGTCAGAAACAAAGCTTTAGTCTTATATTCAAGAGCATACATAGAACCAAGAATATGATCTTATTGAGGGGTAAGAAGTCAAATATATAGGCATCAACTTAGGTATGAAGTGATACAACTTCTCACCATAAGTGTTGCCATAAAAATATGATAAAAATAGAATTAAAATTGAAATTAGCAAGTTTTAGTAATTCTAACACATTCTTGAGACTTAATCGAAGAACTAGATTGTTATAAAATTTTTATATTGAAATCAAACTCGATTTATATCATCAAAGGTGATTGAGGGAATTTGATCCAAAGGCAAGCACAATACCCATTGGGCATATTTACAATTAAAGTGAAAGTTATTATACTAAAATGATGGAATTAGCTTCTCAAAAAATTCTTAGAAAGAAATTATATATTAATCAAAAGTTTTCCAACAAAAGAATAGACAAAATTAACTTCAAAAAGATCTCCTTTAAAAAATTCCAATTTAAAAAATTCAATATTTATGACATGAAAAAATGAATTTATATACAATTGCACTTTAGATAAGACTCTCTCCAATAAAGATGATGGAGAAGCCTTGAAAGGATATACCATCGAATCGTCATGATAGCTAATAAATATTAGCATTTTAAGGATCTCCTAAGGATGAAATCACTTTAAAAACTTGAAAGATTTTGTTCAACCTTCAAAGGTGATTGAACCTATTTTGATTAAATTATGAATGATTCAAACTCTAACCTATAGGTCAAACCTTAACTTAGTATGTTAACATAGCCTCTTTCAAAGATACATTCAAAATAAAGATTTATAAAAGAAACTTTGATCTTTGATTAATAATACTTTATTAAAAAATCAGCTTTTTAAGGATCTCCTAAGAATGAAATCACTTGAAAGGCTCGAAATATTTATTTCCACCTACAAAGGGGATGGAATCTATTTTCGTTAAAGTATGAATGATTCAAACCCTAGCCTATAGGTCAAACCTTCACTTGATATGTTAACATAGCTTCTTTCAAAGATATATTGAAAGCAAATATTTATCAAGCAAACATAGATACTTGATTAAAACTAGGAATCTTATAACTACATGATATATCAAGTAAATAATATTGCATATAACATTATAACTCAAAACTCAAATATTGGATATATATCAAGTTAAAAATATTATAAATATATAGAAATGATACATCAAGAAGCATAGTACTATGGTACAATGTAACTAAAAGAAGAAAATGTTGCAAGCATACAAGTATGGAACATTAAATATAATTATACCAAGGTTTACTCCAACTCATTGTATGGAAGATATCAAACTTATAATGAAGTTCTAAAAGACATGTTCATAATATGCTTCTTAAGATAATGCCTATTGATAGGGTGCATGAAGTGTGTACTATCCTTATCTTCCAATATGTAAGATTCACCATCATAGGTGATCTTTATTATAGAGGAACCCTCCCAAATAGGATCAAATTTTCTATCTCATCAGTAGTGAGTAATAATTATCCATCACAACACTAGCACTAGCTTGTTATCAATATGTATTCTGGGTTTCGCAAGCTTATTACATGTTCAAGTCATACAAGCTCTAAACTTTGCTCAGCTTATAGTTTAACCTCATTAAGGTTGTTAAGTTTTTCAAAGAGAAGAAGGTTGTTTTGGTTGTCATTAAAGAATGTACTCTTGGCTATGCATAAAGAATGTAATTTCACTTCCCAAGGACTACTTTTGACCCAAAAATCAAAGTATAGGAAATAGACAAATTAGGAGTTTTATAGGCAGTTTTGTTTGACTCAAACTTTTATTATTTTATTATGTCATTCTATCTTATCAGTGAACAAAACTTTATACAAAAATTTGACAAGTATTTTGTTAAATTATTTGGTTAATCCATTACCCTATGATAATA